CCCCCCCCTCAACTGAAGGAGAGAGCGGGTCACTCTGAAAAGGGTGGCCGGGCGATTATCTGATGACGCAATGAGGGTGGAGTAGTAATTAGACCTCGCCACCCTCATCGCCACTAGGTAGGATCTAACCTGCATCCTTGCCTGTGTTCAATCGGATTCGGTTCGGCTAGCCCTCCAACTGCTCTCTAGGCGTCTTTTTCGGCGCTTCATCTCTCTCAGCTCCTCGGTGAACCAGGGAGCCAGTTGAGATCTGCGCCGGGTCAAAGGCCGCAAAGAACCTGACTGTGGAATTAAGCTATTTGCAAGATTATTTTGGAAATGACTACAGACGTGACTAAGAAATAGTCCAGAAAGCATTCAGTACTAAAAAATTCTCAGTTATTGGATTCTAAATAATCTGTAGAGTTTTAGTGCCTAACTATATATTAAGAGACAAGAATGAAAAAAAAACACCAGAATCCTATGATAGTTATACTTTAAAGATTAATCCTTTTTTTAAAGAATCCCATTACCTTTTGTGGATCTAGTCCAGCGTATCGATTTATCAGATGCATGTTCATTTTTAACTTGGTTAAAGATATAGTAATATTTTCTGAGGATTTTTTAGTGCAAAAGACTAACATGGCTACTTTTCTAGAATTTTTGAGTGGGATGGCAGCAATTTATTATTAAAAATACTTCTGAGCAGCTACCAATACAATTAGTATTTCATGTTATTATAGGGCCAAATAGGCCAATAATCACCAATTTTTGGGATAGAAGAAAACATATATACATATGCAATATTTGCGTATCTGTTTAAACTAGTATAAACCTTAAAACTGCAATGAGAATGAAAAATAAGCTTGATATAGAGCAGCATGCTTTTCATATTCCTATATATCTTAACTGAAAGAAGGCTTATTGGGCGATAGTTCTTTAAATCATCTTGGACCCCATTCTTGTGTAAAAGAATAACTTCAGCATTTTTCCATTCATCGGATATTTTTTCTTTTCTGAGGCATCTCGGGTATAGTTTTGCTAGTATCTTGTGTAAACTGTGACCACCAGCTTTCAGCATTTCAATCATAATAGAGCCATTTCCTGAAGATTTGCTATTTTTCATTGATTTTATGGCACTTGATCCTTCCTCCATTAGGATATCTAGCATTTCCTTTTTCGTGGGTGTTGTTATTTTTGAGTGATCTTGAACTTTGTATAGCTCTGAATAGAATTTTCCAATTATTTCTAACATTTCCTGTTTTGTTCTGCACACAGAGCCATCTTCATGTTTTAATGCAAAAACTTTCTTTCTTGTATTTATAAGCTTGCATTTTGCTCTATTAATCCCTTTGTTTTCTTCAATTGCCTTTTTAACAAGCTTCACGTTAAACTGACATGTTCCTTCTTGGATACCTTTTCTTATGGTCTTGCAAAGTTCAACATACTTCAGTTTATTAGTGAAACTTCTGATATTCATTTTCCGTCATTTTTTTCATTAAATCAATAAAAATCTCATCAGAGATTTTTGACTGTACCAAGTGTTTTTTCGGTGGTGCTATAGATGTAGCAGATTCAAGGAAGTTTTTGACTATTTGTTCAGTTTGATCCGTAATGTTCATCTCTTCAAATCTTGCAATAGATCAAAGCGATTTGACAGATTAATCTCAAAAATCGCTGTTCTCCTCTAACAGCTTATCACTCTTTATTTTTATTTTTCATCATGTCTTTATTATTTTCATATGCTCTTTTTGACAGTCAAAGGAGCAAGCAGGGTTCAGAAGCGGCTACAGCACAATGGATCACATCCAGATTGTTCAGCAAGTCATTGAAAGGCACAACAAGTACATCATGCCTCTGTGCATGGCTTCCATTGACTACAAAAAGGCGTTTGACTCAGTATTCCAGCAAGCAGTAATTAATGCATTGCTCAGTCAAGACATATACACTGCTTGTATAAACTTACTACAATCAATATATGAAAAAACAATAGTGACAATTTGCCTTAATTATCTTAAAGTGGAAATCAACATAGAATGAGGTATACGACAAGGTGATACAGTATCACCTTTCCTTTTCTCAGCCTTCCTTGAAGAAGTATTTCACAAAAAGGATGGGCAAAAGTTGGAATAAAAAACAATGGCAACTATTTAAATCACTTATGATTTGCAGATAATGCTGTTTTCTTCTCACAAGACCAGGAGAACTACAAAGACACATACAAGAACTGCACGAGACAGGAGAACCATTTGGCTTAAAAGTAAACCTAAAAAAGAACCAGATTATGTGTAATAAATTCACTAAAGAAAAAAAATTATATTTGGAGAAGAACTAGACTAGCAGACCACTACATATACCTTGGCCAACAGATCTCAGTGGAAAATGATACAATAAAGGAAATTGAATGGCATGATAATGTGGTTGGCAGGCATTCGACAAGCTAAGCATAATTTTCAAAAACAACTCCCCCCTATGCCTGAAGAGAAAAGTTTTCAATCAATGTGTGCTACCTGCTCTGACATACGCCAGTGAAACATGGATACTCACCTCACAATCAATACAAAAGCTATGAGTGGCACAAAGAGCCATGGAAAGATACATGCTCGGCATTATAAGACACGGTAGAAAGACTGCACATGGATTGAGAATAAATGAAAGTATATGATATCATCAAGAGAGAAAAAGAATTGAAATGGAAATGAGCTGGTCACATAGCAAGAAGAGCTGATGGCAGGTGGACCAAGGCAATCATAGAATGAATCCCATGTGATAAAAAGCATCCACGAAAGAGAACTAAAGCAAGATGGATCAACGACATCAACAAGTATTGCGGGCCCAGTTGGCAAAAGAAAGCTCAGGATCATATAGGTTGAAAACATGCAGAAGAGGCCTTCATCCTGCAGTGGATAGACAATGGCTAAAATGCTGCTACTGCTGCTGCTGATATATCTTAACACTTTTACATTCTGAAATGTTAAGGCATGTTTTACTTTTAAATATGTATATGCATATACATACATACATACATACATACATACATACATACATACGTATGTATATATACATACATACATACATACATACATGCATATACATACACATCATTTTTTGGCATAAAAAACTATTTATGATGTCTTTCATATTTGCTTTTTGATATTAAAGTTTAGCAACCTTTGTTTCAGTGATCATTTCAGAACAGAACAGAATAACATAGTTGGGAGGGACCTTGGAAGTGTTCTAGTCCTACCCCCTGCACAAGCAGGAGACCCTATACTATTCTGGACAAATGACTGTCCCATCTCTTATTTAAAACCTCCAATGATGAAGCACTACAGCTTCTGAAGGCAAGTTGGTACTGGTTAACTGTTCTCACTGTCAAGAAATTTCTCTTTAGTTCTAGGTTGGTTTTCTCCATAATTAGTTTCCATCCATTCTTTGTAGCAGCCCCTCAAATATTGGAATATAGCTATCATGTCACTCCTGATCCTCCTTTCCACTAGGCTAGACATACCCTATAACCATTCTTCATATATTTTAGCTTCCAGCTCTCTAATCATCTTTGTTGCTCTCTGCACCTTTTCCAAGTCTCAACATCTTTTTTATATTGTGGTGACTAAAACTGGATGCAGTATTTCAAGTGTGGTCTCACCAAGGCATTATAAAGTGGTATTAGCACTTCATGTGATCTTGATTCTATCCCTTTGTTAATGTAGCCTAGAATTGTATTGGTTGCAGCACACTGCTGGCTCATATTTAAGTGATTGACCACTAGGTCTCCAAGATCCCGCTCGCAGTTACTGCTATTGAACCAGATTCCCCCTATTCTACAGCTGTACATTTGATTTTTCTTGCCTAAGTGTAAAACCTTACTTTTCTCACCACTAAATTTGATTTTATTAGATAGGGCCCAGTGTTCAAGTCTGTCAAGATCCTTCTGGATCTTGAGGCTATCTTCTGGGATATTGAAGAGTACTGGGCCTAAGACAGAACCTTGGGATACCCCAGTGCTTACATGTAGATGTAGTTCCATTAAGGACTACACTATATTGTCCTCTGGAGAAGAAAGTAATAATGTAAGGATATTATTCTTTTCTCCCAAATTTCTGTTCCTCTTCTATTTTTCATTTTGTTTTTATCCTCAGAAAAGGGAGCGGTTGCAAGATGAGGTAGAAAGAAAAAACTCATGGGTTAGTCAAGAACGACAGAAAACATTGGACAGACTTCGAACATTTAAACAGGTAATTGGAAAAGATTGATTTCACTTGAATTTTCATATAGTAGTTTAAATAATAAATTTTATTAAACAAATTATTAAATAACAATTTGAACTTACCCTCTGAAGTCTGAATTTGCCAGAACTCCCTATCATCAATACACAGAATGTGTGGATTGGTTGTTAAATTATGTTAAATTAAATTATATTAAATTATCACAGGAAATTAATAAAGAAGATTACTATATTAAAATCGTTTTAATTTCAACTCAGAAAGAGTAATTATTCTTGAATCTTCTAAATAGATTTTTCAATTTAGTTAAGCACATTATATAGCCTTTCAGATCTATAAAGGACTGAAAATTTTGTTTAAAAAGAAAAAACTTCTATGATTTTTTAAAAATCAATTTTAAAATAGGAAAATTTAAAGCTTAGTTTCACATATTTGTTATCTTTTTTTCTTTATGATGATTTTTGATATAGTTCTTGCTGACTGTTGGGTTACCAGTAATCAGTGTATATATCAGTAAGATTGTTGAAAAAATATGGAGGAATTAAAATGTTCATGTAATGTTCTGCACAATACATCAATGGTGCAGAAATAGAAAATTTACTTTGAATGAATTTTCTTCTTCAGATGAAAATAAATTATTATGACAGCTTTCTAAACTTTCTACATTCCACCTCTATGGAAAATGGGATTTCAATATTGTTTTTCTTTCATATTTTGTTTTATTTAAGTTTATGAAATATGTAAGTGACTTCTTACTGTAACTTTTTAAAAAGGAAGTTTACATATTGGGCTATAGAAGTGTAAAATTCTACAATTTAAATTCTTTTTTCTTTCTTTCTTACTTTCTAAGCGCTATCCTGGGCAGGTAATTCTCAAATCAACTAGACTTCGGCTGGCTCATGCGAGAAGAAAAAGTACAGCCACTTCAGTATCTTGTCTAGATCATCCCCCATCTTCACCAGTAACTACACAGACAGATAATGTGGAGCAAGAAAAAGTAATCCAGCCTTTACAAAAACAGGAGTCTAGAAGTTTAGGACAATTTGAAGATCTATTTCGATCTCCTAGTAGTGTTATGTCTGAATTTTCTCAAACTGATTCTCTTCCAGCTCTCGTTAGTAATGAATTTCATTCCAATACAATCAGTGAGGCACCATTTCCTCCTCCTCTACCACCACCACCACCACCACCTCTGCCCACTAAGGAAGAATCTACTCAGTGTTCTGAAAAAAGCACTAGTCCTGTTAAACAAAGCAGTGCAGAGAAGCCAGCCCCGTTGATCACTATTGCACCATCAGCTCATTTTTTTGATAGCAGTGAATTAGTCAGTGCCAAGAAAAAATTGAAGAAAACTGGTGATATAGAAGGATTGCAAAGAAGAAGAGGTAATTTCTGATTTATTTTGAATGGGGTTATGTAAAAAGTAAAATCAGTGCTTGTTTACTATTGCTTGGCTAATAATCAAACATAATAGCCAGGTTTCAAATCATTAGCTTGTCACACTAAATAAAACTTTGAGATTGTATACCATAAACAATATCTGCCTAGGCCCATATATTTGAAACAAAGGATACCTTTCAAAAGCATTTGAAATATAACTTGAATGTTTATGGGAGGGTGGGGGAAGATCAATAATCAATTATGAATTTCCTAGTTGGGAATACTGCATTACTACCATGTGAATCTTTTTCTTAATCACAGCATGATTCCAACTGTATTAGTATTGTTTCCACCAACCAAAGTTACAACATCAGGTTTATATCAATTTATAATTTAAATATATCTCTTTCCATTGTTGCCTCTCCCTCACAGGTAGGTTGATTAAGGATACTTGTTTCAGGATTTTTAAAAAACTGCAACCTCAAAAAGTAGACATACTGTATCCAAGAAATGATTAGCAGAGGTTTATTAATTTTTTTTAAAAATCTTCCCTATCTTCTATGATCTAAGCAGTTTCCTTTGTTTTGTTAATAATAGGAAACAATTACTTTACAAAAATCTGCATACAAAGAAGGGATAAGTGAATTTTGTTTCAGATCTATTTTTTTTTGTTTTATTTTTGCTTTCTATGAAGAAAAAGTTATATTAAACTTATATTAAAGTTATCTTGCTGGAAACTATTTAATGTGCCATAAATAAGATTGTTTATCCTATTTATGTAGGTCATTTAGGTGATCTGCGCTATTGTCAACCTCTTACTTAATTCAAACATAGATTTTCCTAAGATTATGTTGTAGCTGTTGTGCAAGCCCAAGAGGATATGTGGCTTTAAGTAAATTCAAAAAGTACAGCAAGTGCACCCACATTAGATTTGAAGCACTTTTCTCATTTTGGATCTGAATACTGCACACTTTTATAAGCACCTTTCTCACTTTGGATCTGAATACTGCACACAAGATAAAGTTAGAACTTTTGTAGTATGTAAATTTATATTTAGTAAGTTTTACTATTTTCTATAGTGAGTTCACCAATGGATGAGGTTTTGGCTTCCCTGAAACGTGGCAGCTTCCATCTGAGGAAGGTTGAACAGAGAAATCTACCCCCATTTCCCGATGAAGATGACAGCAATAACATCTTGGCACAGATCAGAAAAGGCGTGAAACTGAAGAAGGTTCAAAAGGACATTATGAGAGAATCATTCACAATTTTACCTGATGATGATCCTTTAACTCGCAGCATCCATGAAGCACTACGACGGATTAAGGAGGCATCACCAGAGTCTGAAGATGAGGAAGAGAATCTACCATGCACAGACTGGGAAAATTAAGGGTAATTTTTCCATAAGTATATAGTAGTAGACTCTTAGATGATGCAGCCTTTACAAGAATTAATGTAAGCTTTCTTCCATAGGAGACAAAATGCCTTAAGACTAACAAACAATGTAAACATTTTCTTGTTTACATTTTCTTATTTTTTATTTTCTTAATTTCTTAAGTTATTAGACTAAAATGCTCTTATACCCAATAATACAATTGCTACAAGCTAATAATTTTTCAAATTCAAGTAAGAAGAAAACCACATCTTCACCAAAACTGGCAAGGCAAGCTATTGTATATATGAACAAACTCCACATTCACTCACACTGATTGTTTGTTTGTTTGTTTGTTTGTTTGTTTATTCTATAGCCACCCATCTCAGTCAATGATTCTGGGCAGCTTGCAGTTTTAAAAATATTACAATTAAAATTACTAAAAACTTTTTTAAACATTAGAATTAGAATAACAGAGTTGGAAGGGATCTTGTAGGTCATCTAGTCCAACCCCCCACCCAAGCAGGAGACCCTACACCTTTTTTGGACAAATGGCAGTCTAGTCTTTTCTTGAAAGCTTCCAGCGATGAAACTCCCTCAACATCTGAAGGCAAACTGGTTGATTGTTCTCGCTGTCACAAAATTTCTCCTTATTTCTAGGTTGAATGTCTCCTTGATCAGTTTCCATCTGTTATTCCTTTTTCTGGCCTTCAGGTGCTTTGGAAAATAGGTTGATCCCCTCCTCTCTGTGACAACCCCTCAAATATTGGAACATTGCTATCATGTCTCCCCTTGTCCTTCTCTTCACTAGACTAATCATGCCCAGTTCCTGTAACCGTTCTTTATATGTTTTAACCTCCAATCCCCTAATCATCTTTGTTGCTCTTCTCTGCACTTTTTCTAGATTCTTAAAATCATCGAGATTAAATATACATAGAAGCAAGATACTTGGCCAGTTAGCAATACAACCAGGAAATGGGGCTCTTAACATCAGCACCCCGGGCATGGAAACACAGATAGATTTATAGGCCCTTATGAAAGGTTGTAGGCCATTCTAATGTCCAATGTTCTATAGAGCAGGGGCCACTGTGGAAAAAAGTCATCTTTGGTTCCCTCCAGCCAATGCTTCCTCGCCACCTAACACATTACCTAGTTGGGTGATGAAACATCTACAAGCAAATAATCAAACTTTGAAAGCACCAAGTTTCCACAATTCAACTCTGAGCTACATATATTATCTTCTATTAGAACTTATAAACATATTAAACATAGGAGGAAAGCCATGTAGCCTATGCCAGCCAAAAAGGTTTGGTGATGAATTTTCAGATGTACAAACTTTATTAAAAGACATACATTTTTCTAAGTTACAATTTAACTTTATCAGATTCATGTAGCGGAAGGTTCAGTCACACTGAAATAGGGCATTAAATCTTAATCTGATTTCTGGATTGTAAAGTGAATTCAAACATTTGCTATGTTAGTTTTACATTCAACTTGCTGTCATGGTTGTTACCAATTTGACAAAGATGGCCTTATCAAATTAATAAATGAATTGGCATGCTAGTAGCTAATTACTGGTAAATTTAATAAAATGAAGGTCATGTCTGAGGTCTTTAAAGCATGTTTTTCAGTTAAGAGAGCTTTCATTTAATAATGTAACCTAGTGAACATACAATTACTGTATTTTTTTTTTCAATATAAATTTTACTGCAGAATAATTTATATATTAAATGAGCAGTTTATAGATACAAGTGTTGGTCTCATCTGTCTGCAGTAGCTAAGCATATTAAGTGGCTCCGTATCTGGGTCAGAAATGCTAAAGATGCTGGATTCCAATAGATAACAACTCAAGGATATTTTTCCCAGTTCCGATACATCAAACCCATTTAACTAGAGATGCCACAAATTGAATCTGAAGATTTGACATGCGGACCAGATATATTGCTGTTCAGTTGTGGCTTCTTCCTATGCCTCCTATGCATATCTACTGCACATGATCATTGACTTCTTGTAATAATCTTATTCCAAATGACTATTCTAAGTTTGCTATTTTTAGTCTTTTGCCAATATTCTTTAAGAAGAAATTAAAACAAGGACTTATGCACTTGCAAAAATAACTGGGTTACAAGTGCTTTCTTTTTCAATAACCATTTTCATGTGTTGACAGAATTAATGGTCTGTTATTTTATCATGTATTATTGAGAATTCAGAACATCTCACCTCCTTTCAGCCTGATAAAAGACAGATTGGGTCAAGAGTGAATGTGCTCAACGTCATCCAGTGAGCTCCATAGTTAAATGTGGGTCACCGTAATCTATATCAAATGCCTTAACCCTGGCACTATACCTAAAATTTTATGCCTAAAATGTTATGCCTAAAATTTGCCTCTTAGTGTCAAGTGATGATGTGTCATGGCCCCATCAGATCCGGTTCGGAGGAGAAATTGGAACCGGGACCAGCTGACGGGAATGGCAGGTCTCCCCTGGACTGTTTGGGGAGGCAAGGGACTGACGACGATGCTGTCCCAGACCCCTCAGGCATTGGGGGAGGTGGTCAACCAGACAGGGAGATGCCTGCCCTCTCAAACACAAGGAAGGATCGGCTGCTGATGGGCAGTGGTGATGAGAGGCAGCAGATCCCCTCTGATGAGGAACAACTGTTTCCCCCACTCAATCCGAGGGCATGGAAAACGGAGGGGAGACAAGCTCAATGGAGGTCTGTGAGGCTGCTCGCGAGAAGGTCACCCTGCCCCTCCTCATACGGAACACCTGGCTTGGGTTGACTTAAGCAGAGGCTGGGGGAGGGCATCTTTGTCAGGAACAATTATTTTGCTTTGGCATGCACTTTCCTGGCCTTGGAAAACTCTGCTTTGAATCATGTTTCTGCCTGTGCCTTTGCCTTGTGGACTTGTGTATGACTTACAGACATAGCCCTCTGGACTTGTTTTTAGACTTCCTATCTGCCTTTACGAATTCACTGGGACTGTGAATGGCTGCCTTCAAGGAAGTTTGGGGTGGAGCTTTACCAGCCATTGTAGGGCCATTTATTATGGAATTAGCAGAGCAATAAAGGACTCTATCGAAGCCTGCCTCTGTCCAGAGCTGCTTCTGTCATTATCTCCTGCACAAGACCTTCAAACTTCAAGGTCTTTTTGGACATTGGGAAATCGTGACTTCTATAATAACTAATACAGGGACTGGCAGGGCAGTAGGTGGATTCCAATAATAGATTTATTCATTTAATTTGTTTGCTTCCATGTCACCATGAAGTTTATAAGGATTTTCCCCTTATAAGATGGAGAAGTTATTGATTGCAAAGTTTCTGCAACAAGTTTTTGCCTTTGTTATTTCATAAAAATATATATTTTAGTTATGAGAATTTATTGCACTTTAATGCTGCCATTTTTTTCACCCCCCCAGTCTGTCAAAGCTATCTTGAAGCAAATCCTTGTTAGTTTTATTTCTGGTTATCTCAAATACTTAAGTTGACAGATAGGAGAATGAAAAAACTGGCAGTTAAGTTCCAATACCCCTCCTGGAGGAACAAAAACCACTCACTCCCCACGACCGTGATCGTGCATATATTGTGCATTTTTCTGTCCCACTGTGAAGAAACCTCAAATCTCAAAATGGTTGCTGTGAGAAGTTACCTGCCTGCAAAAGTTCCCTTCTATTCCTATTAAAAGCCTCTGGGGCTTTGAAGCCAAAAGGACTGTGTCAACATTTTGCAGCCAAAAAACTTTTCACATTAAGTATCATTGATTATTTTTTTGAATGGAACAATTTGCTCCAGCCACATTTTCGCACCCATTTCTCCACTGGCCCCCCACTGCAGCCAACCTACCATTGGTGTTTATGCTTGCCAGCCTCTCTACTGGTACTCCTTCCCCGGCAATGGTCCAATGGCTCTCCTGCCCCACCCCCTTCTCCCAGCCGATTCACTGAGGGACATTTATCTCCAGGCATTTCGCTGTGCTGGATACTTAAATGCCCTGTCAAGCTTGAAGTTCGCTTTGCTGTTGCAACAATTATTGCTTCTTAGCTTGCCAATGAGCTTGAGGGGAGGAGGGGGAATTGGAATGCAGACTTCAAAGATAAGAAAAGAAGACCATGAGAAGCAAGGTCAATTGCCAGGTGTCTGGCTCGACTAAGAGACAATTTCTCATAACAGTATAATTGTTCCTAATTGGGCAACATGATCTTTCCATGGATGGGAAGGGAAGTGCTTTCCTTTTACTATAGGAGGTTTGGCCTGAGTCTTGCCAGAGCTGGTTTTGCTTTCAACTGGACCAAAAGGATGTGCTCAATAAAGTTTTACATTAAGAGATTGGAAAGTCTCAAAGGTGTTTGCTTGGTTGGGTTTGTCAGTTGGAACCTTGGGCTGGAACCCGGTGGCCAGATGGGGTGGGCGTCTGGCACAGCCCCCCCTCCCAGCAGCAGCGGCAACAGTAGTAGCGTCCCAGCCAGCGGTTGCTCCCACCGCAACCAGGCTGCATTTGTAGCCACATCCCAGCTGAGGGAGGACTCCAGCCCTGCTGATATCCATCGGCCCTTGTCCCGCCAAAAGAAGAACGTGAGTCCTATCCGCAACCAGAGCTTCGACGGCCCCACGGGCAGAACATGTGCAGGCAACTTCTCCCTTCCCAGGAGACTTCGCATGTGCCTCATTCGTCCCAGGAAAGGAAGGGCTTGCTAAAAAAATAAAAACAGATTGTATGGTGCAAGAAACTAAAATGGTTCAGTTTGGGGAAAAATAAAATGTTAAGTGCCCTTCGTGCTTAAATGTGCAAGCAAACCTGGATTCAGAGACAGTGACATCTTTACAGTTCCCAGTCGGGGAGGAAAAAAGTATGATGTGGACCATATCAGGAAGTAGAGAGTGACCAGAAAGGAGCGTGAAACAGGATCACCAGGATACCTAGAGTGGCCAAGAGAGAAAGAGTTAAAGTAGCGTCTTGATGTGAGGTAGATTGGATTTTGAATCCCTTCCTTGGCACCTTGTGGTATTTTAAAGTGGGAGCCAAAGTCTCGTTAGTCCTGCTCTCTGAAAGTGGGCACCAAAATGTTGCCAGTGCAAATTGTCCTAGACCCATTATTTGTTGTGATGCCAAAATGGAAAATACAGTCTCAAATGTTTTGAACTGCCTCAGATGTTTTGAATTGTAGATCTTTCCAGACTTTCTCTTATGGAAAATATTTCAGAGTGAGCAGAGGTGTAATTGACAAATGTTTTGTCTATATGTCTCTTCTGCAAAGTATCAGATTATTAGTTGATTTTTTCCCCTAGAGACTACTTGAAACATAAGTTCTCAAGAAATTATATTCTAAAAAGAAGCTTTGGAGGGCAGGAGAAGGGAAGAATATTTTTTTTCCTTCAGTGATTTGGAAGGCAAGAGTTGTTGCCAGTAAGAAAAACAGAGCTCCAAGTTTAACATTCCAAAATGGTATAAAATAAAATGATTTTGTTGCAGTTTTAAATATATCACAGCTGAATTAGGAATAATTTAAGTTGGGTGTCATAAATTTTGTGGGATCACGAGGTCTGGAACTACTTCTGACTGGTGGTCAGTTATTGTTGTCAGGGAAATTTGCAGGATATTTTTTTTTAAAAAAAAGTCAAGATTATGTTCATAACTCCCCCTGTGAAGATATTTGCTCATTGGGGATGCCCTTAGCATGATCATGTTCCTTTGAACAGAAGAGAAAATGCATAGTTCAAGTTGAACTGTGGAATACTTTGTGTTGTCTGAACTTGGCTTTTTGCTTGCAGACATTTTATTATCCAACTATATAACATCATCAGTACAAGTCAGAGTTCATAGATTTCATAGACTCCATAATATTTCTTTGATTGTGTCATAAGTACTTGTTGTATAGTTGTACAAGCCCAGTACTGGGGTTCCTGACATAAATTGAAAGAGTATTGAATGATTTATTAGAATGTAATGGTTGGACATGATCTCAGATATCACTTGTCCATTCCTATATCACAATAGCATTTTCACCACCATTTTGCCTGTTCTACAGAACATTTTCTATTTAAATTCATTGTTTCTTGTCCTATCTTCTGTAATTGCTCTGAACAATTCTGTCTCACTTTAATCCTTCAAATACTTGAAGAAAGCTATTATGTCTCTCTGCAGTGTTGTCTCCTCCAGGCTAAATATACTCCAACTCTGCCCCATAAGTTTTTCCTTCTAGGCCTGTAATCATCTTGTTGCTCTGCTGGACATACAGGTAGTCCTCAACTTAGTAACCATTCAAAGTTACAACGGCACTGAAAAAAGTGACTTATGACCATTTTTCACACTTAACGACTGTTGTGGCATCCCCATGGTCACGTGATCATAATTCAAATGCTTTGCAACTGACTTATATTTATAATGGTTGCAGTGTCCTAGAGCCATGTGATCACCTTTTGTGACCTTCTGACAAGCAAAGTTAATGGGGAAGCCAGTTTCACTTAATAACTACATTACTAACTTAGCCGCAGTGATTCACTTAACAACTGTAGCAAAAAGGCATAAAATGGGGCAAAATTTACTTAAAATTTGTCTCACTTAGCAACAGAAATTTGGGACTCAATTGTAGTCATAAATTGAGGATTATCTGTACTCCAGTTTATCAGTAACCTCCTTAAAATACAGTGACTGGACCTGGATGTAATATTTGGAGCAGTCTGATTGGTCCATAGTTATCTGGGTCTTCCTTTTCCCCGTTTACGGAAAAAGAAACAACAGTTATTCTTCCCCAGTCCTCTGATACTAATACCCATCCTCCATGATTTGTCAAAGATTACAGAAAGAATATCTAAGATGATGCTCTGTGAGATGTTTTAAGACTGTCAGATGTAATTGGTATGGTGTTGGAAACTTGTTCATAGTAACTAGTTGTTCTCTGATTATCTCTTCAGTTATCTTGACTTCCCAGTTCTGTCTCTCAATTCTTCTGTTTAAATCTTTCTAAACACAGTATTCTTTGGGGGAGAAACCTAAAGCCTTCACCCTATTACCTGTAATTACCTTGCCACAATAAGCCTACCCCTTCCTTTTTTATCTTTTTTCCTCCTTCCTTTTGTGTTAAAGGAACCCTGGAACCCTTTTTATATTTTTATCTTCTTTGAAAGCTCAAGTGTCTTTTGCACTTGTCATCTACTTTTGTTTCTGCAGATATTAGTTAATATGCAGATAGCAATTATACCCATTTTCTATTTCCTATACAGGTGGTCCTCAAGATACAACCGTACTGGAGCCACTTGAGACAGCTTTGCTTAACAACCTTCACCCCATTGTCCCTAAAGAGGCCATTAAATGAATGTGTAGGTCATTAAACAAACCATGAGGTGCTTCAATGATCAAGGAGGTCCTTGGAGGTCTAGTCCAGGCCCACGATCCTGGACCTCCCAAGGCCTTCCCACTTTCTGAGACACCCCATATTCCGCTTCCCATCCCTTGGGTTCCTGTAGGGCTTTTCCTCACCCCCAGGTCCCCACAGACCATTTTATCCTCCCACCAAATGCCTACAGGCCTTAGGCCTGATTCTGACCCCACCAGGTCCCAGACCTTCCTCCTCATTTACCTTTTGAAGATCTTCAGGCCTCAGGATGGGGAAGAGGCCTGAATGGCTGCCTTCTGGAAGTGGCCATCATTTTCAGTACACATTTTCACCGCACAATTCCTTGTGGTGCAGCTGCCATGTAGCTCAAGGACAGACTGCTCCATTTTGCTGCCTTAACTCAGTGTGCGCACGGTGCAGATAGCATTGCAGCAAAACGGAGTAGTTTGTTCCTGGGCTGTGTGTGGCAGCCTCATGGAAGTGACTGACATTTTGGTGTACCCACAAGGAATTGCCGGTGCAGTGAAAATGCCACTGTTTCTGGGAGGTAGTCACGTGGCACAGGGATGTGTGGCCTGACCTCCTTCCCCAACATGAGGTCTAGATAAGGATGTTGGATGACGGGCGTGTGGGGAGTTGGTCCAAGGAGTGCAGTGGCCTGGCAGGATGGGATGGGGGAGGGTGCGGTTGGTCATACAGGTGAATGTCTGCAGCAGCCGTAACTTCAAAATGGCGTCGTAGGTAGCTTTTGGGGAGTCTATCGCAACTTCAAATGGCTGTTAAGTGATCAGTCATATCTCAAGGACTATCTGTATATATCGTTTTAAACTCTCAATTTAATTGAAAGCTCTCTAAGCTGCCCAATTCTTTCCTTGCTAGAATGGTAATTATATTTCCAAAGTCTTATTTTAATCATTAAACAAATGTATACAATCACCAATTGAACTTTGGCTGGCAAATAGAGATAAAACACCTACATGCAATTAAAATTAATTTTAAAAAATAAATTGAGGCCCTTATAAAAAATTGTGCTACTTTCATAGCAAACACATATCTTCGGCTACTCTAACATCCTATCCCCAGGAGAAAACCTTGGTTTTCATCATTTTCCAGAAAGCCAACAAAGTCAGGGTGATCCTAATTTCCAAGAGGAAGAAGTTCCATAAGGGAGGCATAACGACAGAGAAGGCATGCTTTCAATGTCTTATGAGGTGACACTGCTTCAGTTGAAAGCTGCCTACGCATCCATAGTAGTTTATCCTAAAGTGTCTGTGATTTGCTCATTAGAGTGGTTTGCAGTTGTCTTTTTGGTATCTTATTTTTCAGAGGTTCTTAATCATCTTGCACTTCTTTGTCATGAAATTAACCATCCATGGGCCCCTATTTAGTGTTTCTCTAAGCTTAAGGAATGAGACTGAATTTGGATTTTATTTGAAATTGGCATTCCTGAAATTTTATGTACTATATATTTTGCTCCCATTTTCTCTTTCTTTAGAACAGTTTAACTATATTTTTAATTAGAAACCAGCATTCAGATTGGCACATTGTTCAGTTGTGTGTCTTTAATTCTATGACACAAGCCATTTTTCATTAGCACATTTTTTTTAAAAAAATGGCAGTAAGATGTTCTACAAAACAAAGCTGATTGATTAAGAAGGGAAGAAAGGATAAATGCTTTCACTGGTAGCCAATTTTAATGTAGTTCGAAGACTAGTTTGCAAGCAGTTTTTCAAATTTCTGTGTTTTTGTTTTAACAGGTCCAAGGATTCCAATGAATAAGATATTTGTTTCACTTCTGAACATTCATAATCAACAGTTTGGTCATCACCTTAGGAGAACTTTATTCTGAGAAATTATTTGATATGTGCATGAATACATTTTTTAAATTCATAGTAGAAGATTTCAGTTGGACCAAAGGCTGCTTTATTTAAGTGCACATTTTGCATAATTCTGAAGAGAAAGAACCTTTCAAAATATTTTCTGATTCTTCACTTTTTACATACAGTATGTGTGAAACATGTCAGCAGCTTTTGCAACCAAGCTTCTTCCCAGCATAATTTACTAGAACAAGTATGAAGTCTGACTCCATTGACGATATCAGTGTTGAAGAAAAAGTACTGCTACATTGACATTAATTTCTTGTTACACCAAGAGGAATTCATTTCGCATAGGAGGTAGATTTGAAAGGAAAATGCATTTTAACTACTAATAATTCAAACTACAAATTAGTTTGAAATTGAAAAATGGTTACATGTTTAATGGAAAATGCTCTAAGAATGAAATTCATGTATTTAAAAATTTGTTTACAGTCTACTGCATTCTAAAATGATACATAGCAAAACCCTTAGAAGGCCATGGATACTGTATACATCTTGTATTTTTAAATTAGTGTTTGTTCTCTTACAAATAGTAACATTTTAATTGCAGGGCTGAGTTATAATAAAGTTATACATTTTATTTATAGAAGCAATATTTTATAATGAGAACACTTAAAATTATTTTTATCTATTTGTTTAACTGTTCTTTGATAAGGAACTTTTATTTAAGGAGAATGCAAAATTGAAATGAGATTTTACTTCTAAGTTGTAAAATTATAATCATTTTCCTCCCCCTTCCATTTTTATTATTCCCATTCATTGTTAGAAATATATTTGAATTATGTAATGCCCTACTTTATTGTAAATAATTTCTTTTTAACTCCAGGATAATCGTCTAAAGGAGACCAAGCCTTTAATATAGTGAATACTTTAAGAAATGTATTCCTAAACAGCATGACTAATAGCTGCAGGCAGCTCATTTTATATTGTCAGAATACTAAACATTATTCCTGCATCAAGGCTAGTCTTGTCCTGTTAAAACTGATCAAAACTCAATTCAGGAGAATTTTGAGTTTGGCCAGGTCCTTCTGTTAAAGTGTACTATATGCTTGAAAAAGGATAAGATCCCTTAACTTAGGAAAAATCATGTTAAAATTATTTACTATACTAATCTGTTGTCCTGTAGCAAAGATATTTTATGAGATTGCATATTGGTAGGAGTGCATATAGTAATTTTACTTACTTTTTGGAACTATTTTGCCCTTCTTTTAACAAATAGTTGGAAAAAACATAAAACATTTAAATATGTTATGAATCGTAACCCAGCACAGCTGATTCTTACTTGCAGTTCCCTTGTCTATTAATGACAAAATTGGATACTTTTAAAGCGATATCTGCTATTCTATACTTGGCAGGTGTATTTCTTCAGATATTTATTGCCTTATATAAATTAAAATATTGTCTTCTAAAGGAAAGCTTAAAATAGTATGAGTTCGATTAACATAGGAACGCTAAATAGTTTGGCAGAAAAATAATATTGGTTATATTAGCGTCAGATATTTGTTTCATTGAAAAACTGAACATGCTGTAATACGTTATTCATAGTTGTAATCCCAGATAATGCAGGGTTCTGTGGCAATAATTCATAACTGCAAAATGTAACTGTGTAAAGTTTAGGAAACCCCATAATGTCCGTACTGCGCTGATGGTTAATTGTGTCCACAATAAATATACTGTGTTTGAATATTTAGCCACAGCACAAAACATGAACTTCTACAATGAAGGTGATATGTGGATCATGCTAAACTTTGTGTAATCATTTGCAGCAGAAGTTTCAAGCAACATGTCCCTAGGCCCTTACCAATCGATTACCAGACTGTCTGTGCAAAGATACAGAAATCTTTGCATTATTTTGCAACCACAGATTTTGAATTTATGGGAGAAGTATATGAAGCTCTCAGGCTTTTATAGTTAAGATTTTTGCCTTGAAAAGTGCATGAGTGTTTTTAAAAAATATAATAGTTTAATTATTGCAAGAATATGAAAATGGCGTGAGTATAAAAATGGCTTGTTTGTAGGAACATATACACTGGCTGCTGTACAATAGTTGATCTCATTTCTAGAGTTTTCCCTTTAGAGTACAAATGTTCATAACCTGTTAGGATGAGAAGATTGGTTCAGTTGTCAGTTAAGAGTACAGTAGCAGTAGTTTATTGATCAACACCATGTGCTGTTATCTTAGTCAAAGTTTTCTGACTAGAAGTAATTCTTAAGTTTATTGCTTAAAGCCCATTGTATATAAAAGTTGTGGCAGGCTAAAAAGTCATAGTGCTCAAGTCTGCATATTTCTCAAAATAAACTTATAAAGTATGTAGGCATTTAAGAAAAGAGCTTAGTAAAGATTGTTTGAATGATGAATTCCAGTATTCTAATGTTGCACGCTGCCATGCAACTCTTATTTCCTATTGCTAATGAATGACAAATTTAAGTTAGTTTTTTAATCTATAACTTATATATCAGTAAATTATCTGCGTATGTACAAATAAAGCTGACAAAAAGGGACGGTAAATGCCAAGTAATAAGTAATATCATTTGGAAAAATATGATAGAGGCCCAAGTCATTTAAATATTTCCATTTGAAAAATTATTTAAGATGAAGGGGAACAGTAGTACTCACAAAATTGGTTTATCTCCTATACAATGGTTAAAAGAATTATGATTGTATTAATTGCTTGGGGTTTTATTATTTACATGTTCTGTCATTTAGCATATATACCTTTGTTTCTAATTTCAATCTTTTCCTTGCAGAACTTTTCAAAACTGCAACTTATACCTTAAAAATTGTAATCACAGAAACAAGTTTAATGGCACTAACTTGCATTTTGCAGGGATATAGGAAGCATATGTATTTCACCCTAGGAAGTCTTTGCTCTTGAGCTTCATTTTAGGCAGTTATAGCTTTTCATAGTATTGGTACATTTTTGTAATGGTGCCCTGTGAGGAAGAGGAAACTTTCATAATTGTCAATATTTTATTTTATTTACATTGCCTTTAAAGAGTGAATTGTAACTTAAACTGTATGGATTTGTGAGCGTAATTTATTTTAATTGTTATGCTTTATAATCCTGGTACTGAAGGTAATCATAATGATTTTAAAGGATGAAGCAGAATGTGTAACATTCCAAAGCCATACTAGGGAAACTTCTTGCAGCAGTTAAAAGCACCTTATTTTTACTAGGAATGACACTAATCAAGCAACAGCAGTTTTTCATAGAAACACATACGGCAAGAAATATTTGGATTGAATGTAGGCTTCTTGGTCAATCGATGATAATTGAAGCAAATTAACCCTTTGATATAGTCCTGGGCAGTCAGATTTTCATTGTATTTAGAATTAAAACTATTCTTCGGCAGAAAAATACTCATTTTTTTCAGTTATTACATTAATAGCTGGAAAAATAAAGCACTAGTTGCTTTTATCCTATAAATGTAGCTAATGTTGTTTTGAATGAAACAAACATGTAGTTGCTGAAGAAAATCTTACATAATTCATGGATTGGAGCTATATGGACATTTCGCATGTAACTTTTGTAAAATTATTTCCTAATATTTTGCACAACCCTATGTGTTGTTTAAGACAATTATGTGGGACTCCTAAATAGTGCTTCAGAAATAGAAGCAAATAAAAGCCCATTTTTATTGGGCCCTTTAAAATCTATAATGGCTTATAAATGCCTTGTGCCAGAAATTTATTTTTCAATTTTCATACTCTAATTACAAAAACAAAAAAGCCAAAGGCCTATTTCAGGAAATTCCTTACCCTAGTCTCATACCTAAGGTGAGAAAACAATGTATTTTCCAACACTTAAGTGTAAAGGAAATAGACTTAGTGGCAAACTGGTTCTACCTTCTTAAATCAAAGTGAGGAAATAAAACTGAGTTTGGTGTGTTTGTTTCATACTGAGACTCAACATTGGGCAATTATATTGTTGTAACTGGCAATAAAGAATCTCCAGTACTTCACCATATATATATTTTTTTGAAGAAATAATGTGTCAAGATCTAGTTTGATCATAGTGCACTAACTTACAATTTAGTATATAATTTGCTATATTATGTTAGGATGATGTGGCTGCAAGGAGATTTCTTATTAGCTATAGTTCATTTGATAGTCTATTGGACAATTTATTTGATCTAGACCAATTTCAGGATCTTGGCTACAATTGCTTAAGGTTTGTATCATAATGTCCTCCCATTTTGACAGGATATACACTAAAAGTAGAAGCATTTAAACTGGACTTTGATTGTTTATAAGGAAAAACACCAGAAAATATTTTTCTTGTGCTGTCCAACTGAGGCTATCATCTCCCGATAAAGAACACCCAAAAGCCACCAAATTTACTTTAGACATATATTTTATTAAAATAAATTAATATTAAATTGTCATTTGTGAATTTAGCAGTCTCTGATGAGCCATTTGGTCACTGCCACAAACATCCACTTCTATATCTATTTTCATTTCTGGGCCAGTATGCTAACAGTGATTGGATACTAAGTTCATTTAAAATATCCTACTATAATCTCTGTTCAAGAGGCAGCCTGATCTTGTCTTGAATACAGTATACATGAATTACAGCATTGTAATTGAATGAACAGGCTCTTTGAGCAATTTAGTAGTTTCAGAAATATATGCTATTCTCATCTTTTCTGAGGGAATATGCACTTCCTAAATTTGGAATTTTCTTTTGATTCTTTTATTTTTTGTAGCTCTGTTATATCCCTGCTCTCATTTGGGAACTGTATAACCCCAAGGGGAGTGTGATAATGAAATCTACTACTTAATTGTGCTATATTAATGCAGACTTTCACGTGAGTTCAGAATCATGAAGGCAATCCCTTTTATGAATGTGTCCTTATACTGTTTATTTTTCACTGTAAAATTATGGTAGTGAGACAAGCAGTTTG